GCTCGTAAACCAGGAGAGGAGCTGATACCACGTCATCAGTCTAGAAAAATTCTACATGGGCCTATAGGGTCCTCTCGTTGCCATGAAGTGAGGATGTCTGAGACCAATAGCTCAGGATAAAGCTACCAATTTTAAAGACAATCCACTGGCCGTTTTAGGACAATACCAGCACCAAGAAGAAAAAGCAAACATCAGTTAATCGAACTACACTGTTAAAAGCCCACTAATAAGCTCAGACAAGCCAAACTTTAAAAAGGCACAAAAGAATTCAGTGCTGTCTGCGTTCGGCTGAGTCTCTGTGTAAACAGTGTGGTTGTTTCTGAGGGAATAAGCACAGCAGTTCTACAAACCAACCAAAGGCCCTAAAACGTTAAACCAGAAGACTTTGAGCCAGTGCTATAGAACTCTTGGCTTGGGGGTTCAGACAGAGGAAAACCCAAATAATACTTCATTTTAAGGAAAGACACCAGGCTATAGGAAATTGAAATTTGGTACCTATTCGGGGAGGGTGCGGTTGAAGCCCAAAGCTCCCATCGTAGGTGTGCTTAGCTGCGGAAGAGAGGGAGTGCGGTGCAGAGCCACAGCTGGGATGGACCGATGGATGCTCTCCAGATGCAGCTCCTTGCTGCAGTTCTTAGAGTGCAGAGAACTGTGAACTACAGAGACACCTCTGACCTGACATAACAGTGGTGGGACCACCACCCAGGCAGCCCTGCTCCCTTGCTTTGCAGTCAGCAGATGGTCACTTAGGAATTCAACTCCAGGAATCCGTTAGGAAAAGAAAAAGAAGAAACAGAGGTCTGAGCACAACAGACAGGTTTATTGCAGAACAAACCTCAGAGGGACCACTCTGCACGGAGATGGCTGCCCTTGTACAGGCTATGGGGTCTTCTGTAGGGTCACGGGAGGGGGCGTTCAGTGAGAGCGGCTTGTGGCTCCCTACTAAGAGTAAGCTTGAGAGAGCGCAGCGGCAGTGGCTACCCAAGGACAAGGCTTGGGGAAGTGCAGGGAGCTGTGGTGCCTGTCCACCATGGGGCTGACCAGGTTGTGAGTCCCAGGAGCAGCTTGCTGGAGGGACGGTGTAGAGGGGTCTCTGACCAGGACTGTGGCAGTTGGATTCCTTCAGAAACCATTAAAGTAAGCAGGGGCATAGAATGAAATTTGCATGGGAACTTTACAAAGATTTACATCTTTGTCTTTATTTCTTCTTTTATTTTTTAATTATTTTAAGGAGTAAAAGAAGGATAACATAGTAATGGGGGGCTTACTGAATTACAGACAAAGTGGTAGGAAATTATCAATGGTTGTTGTTTTACATATTGTTATCTATGAGATAGTTTCTTTTTGTTTGTTTTTGTTTTTTTCTGGTACTGGGGATCAAACTCACAACCTTGCTCTTGCCAGGCAGGCGCTATGCCACTGAGCTAAATCCCCAACCCCTACAAGATAGTTTTTCAGGAAAACAAATAGACAAATAATAGTAAGTTACAGATAAAAGCGGTAAGTTATTATCAATGGTTGTTGTACTATACTTTGGTATCTTCAAAGTGGCTTCTAAAGAAAATAAATAGAGCTATACATGAGTGACCAATTGAATATTCATTGACTATTCTCAATGGTTGTTGGAAACACATAGTAATAAACATATATCCATTTATGAAATAGCATAGGAACAATACAAACATTACAGAGTTATGGACAGATTAGTAGGAAAATATCAATGGCTGCTATAATATATGGTGGTATCTTCAAAGTGGTTTCTCAGGAAGACAGAGATATGCAAGAAAGATCTAACAAGTAGTTATAGTCTAAGGGTTGTGAAAAATAGCGGATTACCTTCTCACCAGTAACTCCTTTCACTGAGGTGAGACGGCTTGAAGGAAGGCCAGGATTGAAAAGAAGGACCGAGAGACTTGCACCTGTGTCTAGCGACAGGCTGTTTTTTTTTTCCTCTATAGTCACAATTACCTGGGGCTCCTCCACGGAGATGACAGTCTGGCCAGAGAGAGAAGGCAGAGTATGCCCTGAGCCCTCTCATTCCTATTGGATTAACTGGTAGGATGGGTCTGAGCTCTGGGGCCTCTGCTTCAGAGGGCAGACCGATCTCCAGTGGTCACCTTTGCAATCAGGTTATGGCCCAGGGGGCTTCTTAGGGCAATTCCTCTTGACGTGGCCTGGCTTTTAACAGCAGTAGCAGATGAACATAGTTGTCGAGTTCTGCTTGGGGCCCTGAGAATAAGACTTAGGGTCTGTTTCTCTTAGTGCTGCAGCAAAAGCAGTTGCTTTTTCTCAGTCTCTTTGTTTTCTCTCCTTGGCCACCTCCTGGTCATGGCTATAAAATACTGAGGAGGCAGTTCTTACTAACATCTCATGTAAGCCATCTGGGGTGAAAGCCATTTTTTGTAGCTTTTTGTCTCCAGCCTCCCAGCACACTGGGACCCCACAACCACTTAGTGTCCTCTCCCCAACCATCAGCACAGGCAGCAGGAATCTCAGTGCAGACCTCTCCGGAGTTCCACATGCTCCTCCACTGCAGCCTGTACTATCAGGGGAAGAATGGCTTCCAGGGGGTCTCCCCAGGTATTGTGCAAGGTCCTCCTGGTTTCCAGCTTCTGAACTGCTCTGGTGACCCCAGTCAACTAGACCTCTGAGTCTTCAGGTGTGGTCTGTATTCTCATGTTCTCCGAGTCCTTGTTCAGCGGCGCTCCTCCGCTGACTCAGGACCTTTCTGGTTCTCAGCGGCAGGGGCAAGAGTGACCCGTTGTGTGGCTTGTATTCCCAGGGGTTTCTTCATGCTGGGATGATTCACGCATGTCCCCTGGCAGGCCTCCACAGCCGGTGCAAGGCAGGTCAATTGTGTCATTGCTTCTCTGTGCCATAATAGTCCTTGATTGTGTGGTGCCTGTGTGGCTAGGGGGCAGCCCAAAGGCTGGCGCTGCCCACTGCGCGGCTTCCCTGGCGCAGGAGGCCCACCTCCCGGCCTTTGTCTTTAAATGTTCTCTTTGGTCCCTTTTTCTCCATGTCTTTATTTTCTGTAGTCTGCACACCCTTAAATGCATCACTTTGCTTCCCAGCTAAGATATTTTGCTCTAGAGATCTCTCTCTGAGTTGCTTTTCCTTCCCTTTTCCTTTTTATCTGGTTTGATGTCTCCTCTTACAAGGCTACACACGATTGCCTGTAGGGACTCCCTGAATAATCCAAGATGATCCCCCCACCTCCAGATCCTTAATCACAGCTGCCAAGTCTCTTCTGCCACTTGAGGACACTTCCTCAAGTCCTGGGGATTAGGACCTGGACCTCAGCTGGCCACAGCTACAGATGTCCAGGCATGCTTGGGGAAGAAAAGGTTAACTTGCCATTCTCTCCCCAAGCTCTTTGGTAGGTGCCCCTTCCCTTGCCTGGTGCTGTGAGGTGTCCATGCTTGCACCCGCCTTTCCTTCCTTTTTTTTAATGGGTTTCCACCCATGGCTCAGGCATCACTGGGGATCCCTGAGTGCTCACCTTTTCAGCCACAGGAAGTCTAAATATTTGTGAGCAGTCATAGAGCAAATTGGCCTGCTTGCCGGTCACCTGCTCTTTGCAGGCTTCCTGGCTGATCAGGCCCTCACCTTTCTCTTATCCTCTCACTCGGTTCCTTCAGGCTCTTCTGGAAGTTAACAGCTTCTCCAACAGTGTTTGAAAATCAGGGATTGGCCCTGAGTTGGCCCTTTGGCCCCAGCTTGGCTCTGTCACCTCTGTGAGCTTCAGGGAGTTGTGTGGATGAGTGTCCAAGAGCCCTTTGCCTCACCATGAAGTTTGTGCTTCTGTGATTCCAGCTGGTCTGAAGACACCACCACCCTACCCCACCTGCACCTGCCTCTCTACCTCCACCAGCTGTGTTCCTGCTCTTGATCGTGCCACATGGCCAGGCACAGCCACGTGCCGTTGTGAGGGTGCTGCACAGAGCCGAGTGCTGAGGCTGGGTCTGGCGGTGGCTGTATTAAGAGCATGTGGCCAAGTGCCCTTGCAGTGAAGGGCAAGGGGGAGCAAGGTGGACCCCCTTCCATGAAGCATGGCGCTAGGTTTGTGCTTTGCTACATATACTGATTTCCAAGACAACTGAGGGTCACCCGGTGCTTTTTATGAGTTTGACTTACGATCTTTTTAGACTTCCGGTTTCCTTAGAATGCAGTCCTCTCTCCCATTATAAAAACACTTGCTGCCTTGTGTAATTTGTGAGTGAATTTATTATTTTGAATGCTTTTCAAATTATTAAGCCGTACAGTAAGCCACAACACAACCAGAGTCCAGACATGGAACGAAAAGCCAGTGAGTCTTTCTTTCATCTCACCCACCAGAACTGACTTCAGAGACATGTTCTTCCCCGCAAGTTTTGCAGATATGGGTCTTCAGGAAGCAGGATTGGTTTGTTTCTTCATTCATGAGTAAATGCACCTTTTCCTACAAGGGAAATCACCTATGATTTTTCAAAAATCTACATGTTCTTTACTAGGTATGCTGCTACGAACTGCCATTATCACAGGAAAGGTCAGCACACTTGGGATGCTGACCTTTTTAAAAAGAAGAAAACATGTGAATATATAATTAACCAGCCCCCCTCTTTTCTGGTAAAATCCTTTAATATGAGATAATAACTATACCTGGTATTTTTCAAAAGATGTTGATGGCACAACCCCATTCATTATCAAGTATTGTGAACTATGGCCCTAGGGTGTTTTTCACATTGATTATTAGAAACAAAATAATTTGGGGGGACCCTGAGAGAAACACCGAGTTTTGTGTGTGTTCCTGCTTGCTCACTGACCCAAAGCAGCAGTCGTAAGTATTAAAGAAGTGAACATGGGCCTGGGATATATGGACCTGCCTGGCAAGTGCAAATTTGTGAGTTTGATTCCTGGTACAAAAACAAAAACAAAAAAACAAAAAAACAAAGAAGTGAACACGTAGATGATGTGTGAGGATGAATTGTATGATCCTGATTTTAAATTCATTGTTCCAGACTCACCATCATGGATTCTCTGTTGGAAGCAAATGGCACCTTTGCCATAAGCCTGTTGAAAATTCTGGGTGAAGACAGCTCGAAAAATGTGTTTCTTTCACCTATGAGCATCTCCTCTGCCCTGGCTATGGTCTTCCTGGGAGCAAAGGCAACCACTGCAGGCCAGATGGCTCAGGTACCGGGTGCTGCTTCTGAGTATCAGTAACCGTCCACTATGCTGGTCCTCCACGTTTCAGATCTTGGAGAGATTGCTTAGGATGATAACTGTACGGGTGTCATAGAGATGGGGATGAGGGTGGAGAACTTGCTCCCCTGCTGAGTGAATGTGCTGATGTGTTGGAGGTGACAGGTGTGTGTCTGTTTCAGAGGAGTGAGGATTTCATCAACACGTCGCTCAGCTCCTTCATGATGAAAAGTGATTTTTCAGGTTGATCCTAAACTGTTATTTGGGTTTTGCTAACTGCTTTGGGAGATGAACACCAAAATCTTGGCTTATCAAGGCCACCTGTGACCCCCATTGTCTACCCTCTGGCCCCTCATAGCCCCCAGTCTCATGGCTTCCACAGGTAAGGTGCACTGAAGTGCCCTTCCCCTCCCAAGACACTCAAGTTTTATCCCATGCTGGGGTCAGACTCGCTGGGGATTCCAAGACAGGTCCATTGATGCTCTCCAGATGCAGCTCTTTGATGCATTTCTGAGGGCAGAGATTTGTGAGCTACAGAGACACATCTGCCCTGACATTCAGTGGTGAGCTATATCCCCAGCTCTTTTTTATTTTTTATTTTCAGATAGGGTCTTGCTAAAGTTCTAAGAAGCCTAGGCTGGGCTCTAACTTTTGACCCTCCTGCCTCAGCCTCCCAGAGTGTTGGGATTTCAGGTACACACCACTGTGCTTGGTCCTTGTTTAGATTTTCGTTATGGTAGAACACTTCTGCATTGCTCTGTCACCTTTTGCTGCAGAAAACCACCCTGAAACTTGATGGCTGGAGATAACAATGATGGATGATTTCCCAGATGCTGTGGACTGATAGGCAGTTCTATTCCCCTCCCCACATCATGCCAGCTGGGGTCACTCATGCAGCTATTTCACAGAGTAGTGGGGCTGGAAGGTCTAAGGTGGTCTCTCCCCAGACTGGAGCTGTGGTGATGGTAGTGGGTGGGGCACTGGCTCTTTCCAAGCGGCTCTCCCTATGAGGTGGCACCTCTTCTTCCTGGGCTTCCATGTGGCCTCTGGCAGTGTTAGTAGGACTTCCTTCCATCATGGCGGCCAGTATAGATGGTGAATGTGGTAGCTGCCAGGCCCTCTAGGACACAGGCCTGGGATAGTGACACTTCGGGTGAATTCTGCTGGTCAGAGCCAGTGACAGAGCCAGCCTCAACCCAAGGGCAGCAATGTCTGCATTTCTAGTGTTTGAGAGCTGGGAGGTGTGGTTGGCAGCCACGTTTGCAGCCAGACTGCAGGTGGTGAGCGTGAAGAGCGTGAGTGCGGAGGGCTGCAGGGAGGGACACCTGCTGTCTTTAACTCAATGGTTCTTTGAGTGTCTTAGTTGCTTTCTCACTGCTGGGACACAGTAGCCGGTACCCATCATTTAAAGGGGGACAGGTTCATTATGGCTCATGGTCTCATTCTGTAGTTGGCTGGCTCCAAGGCAGAGGCAGGATGGGAGAAGGAGCATGGTGCAGGAAAACTTGCTCAACCCTGGCAGCTAGAAAGCAGAGAGGGAAGGAAGGAGCTGGGGACAAGAATGGGTCCTCCCAGGCTACACCCCAGGGGCTACCTCTAGTCAGGCCCGCCTCCTAATAGCACATTCAGCCACCGTATGTGTACATGATGAATCCAGTCAGCGATGGGGGCAACACTGTCACGATTCACTCTCCTTCTGCACACATGAGGCTTTTGGGGGACATTTTGGATCCAACCCTACCAAGTAGGGAGGATCTGTGTGTGGTGCACACCCATTTCCTGTGGTCTGCTCCTGCTGACACTGTGTGTTTTTGCTCTGTTTCTAATTTCAGGCACTCTGTTTCAATAAATGTGGCGGCGATGGAAGTGATGTTCACCAGGGCTTCCAGTTACTTCTTGATGAAATCAATAGGACAGGCACCAACTACCTGCTGAGAACGGCCAACAGGCTCTTTGGGGAAAAGTCTTATCAATTCCTCTCAGTGAGTCATACTTGGAGTTTTTCACAAACGAGGTGGTGTGGAGGGAGGGGTTTATGTGATATGGCAGAAGGAGCGTGGGTTGTGAACTCACCCAGTGGCCTCACTCTGCACTTCTTGTATTTATTTATGTGACCTCATGCTTTTTTTTTTCATTAAAAGAAATCAGAAAAAATTCATCTTATGGAAGTAGAAAGCAAATAAGGCCAGCAAAACAAGAGTCCTCACCAACCTCTTCCCACACCCCCTCATCCTTCCCAGGACAAGGACTTTGATAAATTTGATATGTATTTTCCTACACATATAGAAATTTTGTTTGGGGAATTTTTCAGATCACAAATCTTGAATTTTCAGATGAAAAAATGTAATGTGGTGTGATCACAATATACAGGGAATGTTTACAATACAGAATTATTCCAGTAAAAGACATTGCCATGTATCTCCCCCAAAATCTTTCCCCTCTTTCAACACTCTTGCCCTATCCTTCTTGGTACTTTCTGAAGCAGTTCTGGAAGTCCTGTTTCCTGAGGTCTTTACACTCAGGTGTGATTAAGGCATATGGTGAATGGGCACTGAATGCCACCCCTGGAAAGTCAGACTCGTGAAAACATCGCAGGGTGTCATCACCACCTTACTCACCAGACCTGGCACTGTGTGACTTCTGGCTCTTCCCTAAAGTCACATTGATCCAGAAAGGTTAACATTTTGAGTTGATTAAGGTTGTGGAGGCAGCGATGACACTGAACTAAAGACATTCATGAAAGAGAGCTTCCAGAACTGCTTCAGAAAGTGGCAAGAATGATGGGACAGGGGCTGGGGATGTGGCTCAGTGTTACAGTGCTTGCCTTGCATGCACAAGGCCCTGGGTTCGATCCCCGGCACCACAAAAAAAAAAAAAAAAAAGGATGACGGGATAAGTGTGTTTAAAGTGAGGGGAAGGATTCTGAGGGAGACTGATGGCAATGTGTTTTTGCTGGAATATATTTTTTAAAAAATTTAAACATTCACCGAATTTTTAGACCATACCTCATACCTCATTGTTCACTGGATCTTAGCTAAAAGGCGGAGAAGCGATACCTCATTGTTATTATCATTATTATTATGGAACCAGGGCCCCATGCATGCTAAGCGTGTGCTTTCCCGTGGAGCTATCCCGCAGCCCTTCTTCATTATTATTAACCATCTGATAGGCCAAGGTGTGGATGCCTTGTAACATAGCAACCATTTGCTCATGAGAGCGTCTAGGTTGTACAATCTGTGGGCCATTACACATAGGGAGTGTTTTTGAATGGGATTTTGTGTATATGGGTGTGTCCCTCAAGATGGATCTTTAGAAGGGCAGAAGAAAATGAAACTTGGATATTTTAAGTATATTGTCCAATTGCTTTGGAGAATACCGTCTGCACTCTTTCCAGGGATATTAGCAGTGTTCATTTCTGCCCACCATCATACATGCTGTTTGTTCTTAAACTTCTAAATTTTGATTATTTATGAGGTTGTTTGTGAGATCAAACAACTTTTCTTATGTGTTTTGAACATGTGCAAGTTGAGCATCCCTAATCCAAAAATCAAAACCTGAAGAACCGCTGAGCTGAATCCCCAGCCCAGTGCAGGGTTGTTTTTGTTTCTGGTTTGTGGTACTAGGGATTGAACCCATGGCTTTCATACTGAGGTACATTCCCAGCCCTTTTTAAGTTTTTAGTTTGAGAGGATCTTGTTTAGTTGCTAAGATGCTCAGGCCTCAAATTTTTGATTTTCCTGCTTAACTCTCCCAATTGCAATGTGTGCCACCATGCCTGGCTCACAGTGTGATTTTTTTTTTTTCTTTTTACAATTTTTAAAACTTGTTTTATCAATCTTAGCTGCTTGGTAGGTTAGGCTCATCTTTTAAAACTATTTTATGTAATGAAAAAACTTCCAACAGACACAAAGGACTGGCGATTAATTTCCTTTTTCCTTCCTTTCTTCCTGCCTTCCTTCCTTCCTTTCTTTTTGGTGTATACTTTAAGAAAAACATTGATATTTAAAATGTTACTTTGATATTGGGTTGTAAAACAAAGAGACTATAAATATTTGTCAGTTATATCTCATAAATGTACTGTTATCAAAAAGAATACAAACACTAAGCACAATATATAACTTGATATTTCTTTAGTTTGAGTAGTCAGTGCTTATAAAATAGAAACTGAAATAGCAGATGATTATTTTCTGGTGAATGTTAAAGTTGTAAAAATCACCTAAAGGTGTGGCAAGTTATCAGTATGTGAGTGACCAGCTTGCTTTCTGACTGTTTTCTTAGATCGAGAGATTTAAAGTCTTTTTCAGGAGCAGAGCAGATTAGAGCAGAGACTGACCCAGCGTGAACTGGGGGTGGCCTGAGTGAAACCGTACCTAAAACTCACCTTTTAGTGCCTGCAGTGTGCTATTTATTCAGTAACGTTTGATAAAGCAGTAGTAATGCAAGCAATTAACCTGGACCTCAAAGTTACCTGCCCAGGTGCAGCCCCGGCCTCTTTGACGGAGGTGGGTGGGAGACATAAACCCACTGTTCTGAGGTCACCCAGTGATAATCCAAGGACTCGTGTTCCTAACCACCATGCGGCATCTTTGCTCTCAGGCTATCCTGAAGGGGAAAGTGAGCCCCTGAGCTACGACAATAGTTCTCAAAGGGGGAGTTAAATATTTAGCCATAAGCTATTCTAAAGATCAGGAAATATCCTATGGTGTATTGTAACATATTTCACCTCTTTCAACTTTGTATTTGATAAGCAATGACTACTCACACTAAAGCTCATTATTTCAGCCCAGATTTTCTGCTTTAATATGCTAGAACACAGGCGTCCACCCATATCATTCTCATTTCATAGCCTGTGTTATCGAGATTGTTTTTGTGATTTGCAGTGTTGGGGATGGAACCCAGGGCCCCTGCCCCCACAGAACTGCACCCCCAGCCCTGAACTCTCACATTTTAAGAGGTGCTCACTGCTCCAAACTGAGTCATCTGGCACTGGCAACCACGAGACACGTGGAGCTATTTAAATTCCAGTGAAATAAAAGGAAATGTTTGATTCTCCAGCTGCACTGGCCAGGTGCTCTGTGGCCACATGTGGCACTGTTTTGGACCGTGCTGGTTTATCACATTGCCATCTCAGGAGGCTGTGGTGTCAGGGCTGGTGCAGTGGCTTGTTTCCCACGTTCTGAGTGTCATGTTTGGAGCTGTGGCCGGCGTGGCTCCAGGGGGCTCGGCGTGCGGGAGGCTGTCAGGGTAACATATCCCATGACCCTGCACCTCGGTTTCCGCTCTACCTCGCTGTTCCCCAAAGGGATGCAGCAGTTTGTGAAGTTCACCTGCTCTTCAAAGCAACACCTAACTTCATTTCCAGGCTAGGATGAAATAGGCCTGGCAACTCGGGGGTTGGATTTTAGGTTCATTTCTCAAAATTATTCCTAAATACCATGTGTGAATCATAAACCTTTTGATTTTTGGCTTTGATGCAAAAAAGAAGTAAGCTGTTGATGATAATTATTTGTGTAGCTGTGTAATTATGTTGCTGTCCCTCTCCTAGTCTTTTAAAGATTCCTGCTATAAATTCTATCAAGCGGAGATGGAAGAGCTCAACTTTACCCACGCTGCAGAGGAGTCCAGGAAACACATCAACTCCTGGGTGGCCAAGAAGACAGAAGGTAAAAATGTAGTTATTCTATTTGCTTCTTGTTTTCCGTGCTGAGGATGGCACCCGGGGCCTTGAGCGCGCCGAGCCCAGGTTCTGCCATTGAGCCACACCCCGGCTCTGTTCTGTTTTTAACAGTGTTTTAATCAGGCGTATGCCAGTTCCTTCGCAAGAACATCACATGTAAACAAGAGCGACTTTTAAAATTCTCTAAATAACTGCAAACTTTAAAGGTCCACTTCTGAAGTATCACTAAGCTCTGACGTCTCTAGCGTGTCCCTGCTCTGCGTATCTGTGAAATCTCCCAATATTTGGTACATTGCTTCCAAAACAAGCCATGCTTTAATCTCCTTTGTGTTATCTTTCTTTTCACAAACAGTGTAAAGGACATTTCATACCGCAGGGCACAGGGTGTCTCCCGCCCCGACGTGGGGCTCCTGTGGTTCGGTTTTCACGCACTGCTGCAGGCTGATTGGCCATGTCTTCGTTTATCCGTGGTTCTGCGCTTTTACGCTTGCAAAGATCGTTTTGTAACCACTCATTTAAAAGTTTTGAACTTAATTTTTTTCAGTACTGCACGTTGAACCCAGCAAGTTCACACTGAGCTACATCCCTGCCCCCAGCCCTTTTCTTACTTTTTTTGAGGTGTGCTCTTGCTGGCTGCCCAGGCTTTCATCGTGCGATCTTTCTGCCTCAGCTCCCCCCAGTGGTGGGGTTACAGGAGTGTACCACCACACTTGGCTGTTTTTAAACTAAAACATAAAAGCATAAAAACCGTGCATAGGGATGGTGGGCCCCGTGATGCTTGATATATGTGTCTGTGTATAATGTTCCAATCAGGGTAAACATATCTGTTTCCTCAAACTCTCTTTAACTTATGAGCACTCTTTCTTTTCTTTGTGGTACTAGGAATCCAACCCAGGGCCTTTGCACTGAGCTTCCTCCCCAGCCATATTTTAAATTTTAATTTTGAGACAAGGTCTTGCTAAGTCACTAAGTTGCCCAGGCTGGACTCAGTCTTGCAGTCCTCCTGCCTCAGCTTCCCAGAGTGTTTTTTTTTTTTTTTTAACAGTCTTCCAAGTTCTTTTCTTTAGGCTATGGGCATTGATCATCTCTTTCTGTCTCTTTTGTTAAAAATTTATGCTTACTTTTGAACATCTCATTCATTTTATGTGTTGTATTCAAACAGGGGCATTTCTCTTATCAAGACTTTGAAAGTTTTTTTTTCTAAATTTGTTTTGCTTCTGTGGTGCTGGGGATGATGATTCGTTTTATAGACAGATGTCCTTTGCATTTGGGGGGTCAGTGAAATATGTGACCCATGCACTTGGCCATTCAAGGAGGTCACCTCTCTGTTATCCCTGCTGTGTGCCTCAGCCTTGGCTAACCGGTTCTTTAATTCCCCCTTTCAGGTAAAATTACAGAGATTCTGTCTTCCGATGCATTGAACTCAAGCACAAGTCTGGTTCTTGTGAATGCCATCTACTTCAAAGGAAACTGGGACACTCAGTTTGACAAAGCGAGAACCCGTGAGAGGCCATTTAAAGTCAGCAAGGTAATATGTGGGATAAGGAGGGGGACTCTTGGATGAGGTCTCGTGTTCTGAACACGTGGGAAGACACCTCGTGTAGCTGTGCTCTTTGGCACTGGGAAGCCTGGCAGCTGGGACCCCCCACTAAGCCTTGTGGCCCCCCTCCTATCCTGCCCTGCCTTTACCAGCATGTATGCCTACACGCCAAGTCCAATGGTGTGGTCTCAGGCTTACTTTAGGTCTTTTTTGGCTTCTCAGAACTTTCAAGAGAAAGTTCACACTCCAGCATGGGTGTGAGGGTTTAGTGGCCCCGGAGCCTACCCATTTCTCTCCACTCCTTTCAGTACCTATGTGCCTCTTTTTTCTGGTTATGTCCCCTTGGGAATCCCCTGGTTTCCACCCCCTCCTGCATGTGGCCACCACGTCCCTGCTGTCTCATGATATTGGAGCAGTTGCACAACTTTTCCCAACCTCCTGAGAAGCCATGCGAAGGGCAGATGGCTGTCTCACAAGGCCTGGCATATAGCTCAGCAAATATTGAAATGATGATCTTCATTCATTCTTATTTTGATAGTAGAAGTAATACAAATACAGATTTTTAAAAAACAAGCAAAAGGACATTTACACAGGATAGACTGTGAGTTTAACAACTGGCTTGGAATATGCTATTTGCTAATAGTTCTGTATCTTTCTCTGGCTGAATCCAGTTTATTGTTTTGGCTTTGAAAAAAATCTTTCATTATAGAGTATTTTGCACATCTGACCCCAATGCAGACAGGACAGATTCATCACACTGGATTCCTGATCACTGGTTATAAGTTAGATTCTCCAGGCCTGCTTGAATCTGACCCTTTACTTTCTCAAGAAATGCATCTGATTTTGAGCTCTGTTCTGAAATGACATATTGTATTTTCCTGTTTAAAATATTCCTTTCCTTAAAACCTTTGACATGATGTGTGTTAGGGCTTCATTCAGCCGCAGGCAACAGAGTACCCAGATGAAGTAGTTTAACTCACAGAAGCTCAGCTTTCCCGCCAGCGGGTCTCAGAGTGAGCAGAGCCTAGCACTGATATGGCACCAGGCAATCCCCTGGGATGTGGCTGTCCCCTCCTGCTCTGCCATTCGCAGCAGTGGCCTTCCCCTTGGCCACAAGGTGGCTCAGATGCTGCCTCTGCACTCAGGCAGGAAGCGGGGATGGACAGCGAGCGCAGCCCCTCTTTTGGAGGATCTGCTGTCGTAATCAGGGGAACCCTTGCTGGATATTGTATGGCCAGAGCCATCTCATGTGCTTCCTGCCATGTACAGCTGGTGGGCATTCTATCCTGCTCTCCTGTCTATGAGGTAGAGAAAGTGGGTGCGGGGCTGAGGAGCATCGGAGATATTGCCAAGGGAGATATTGTCTGCACCCTGTGGTAGGTGGGACAACCCAGCATTGGCGGATTTATTTTTTTGATAAAGTTTTATTGGAAGTCGCTCCTGCTTGTTTGTCTCTGCAAAACACAGAGAACTGGGGATTGCAGAGTGCCTTGGGCTGTGTCTGTCCCATGATATTTAGGAACTTTGCAGTAGCTGAAGTGGCCAGGAACTGAGGAGGATAGTGGGACAGGAAATGGTCACCTCCTCTAGTCTTTCTCACTGGCTGGCTGGGGACACACTGACCACAAACGCAGTTTCTTCTAATAAGATGTGTAAATTTTGCCTAGTCCTTCGGTATTACTGCCCACTAGTTTGTGTACAGGCATTCATTGTTTGACGAGTGGGTTAAGTTCCTGCAATTAGGTCGTTCAGTGACTTGGTCCCAAATGAGGAATTGTACGTAGTGTGTATGTTACAATATTCAGAACAAAGAAATGGTCAAAGGAAACTCCAACTTGATGACTTTCCTTTATTTGCATAACTCTTACACGCACTACTGCAATGTATAACAGAACATAAAACCACAGTACTGTACAGAACAATCAGCAGAAAGTATAAGCAAGGTGTACTGTAGCAAAAAGAAAAAGTCACTGAGGCTCTATAAACAAGATATACAAAACTATACCAAAAAAAGCAGTTTGTAAGTCTGACCCGCACACCTTGATCTAACTCGGAACATTTATTAAACAGGTAGGTCCTTATATCTGATTCATGTTTTCTGCAGATATTGATTGAGTGCATGCTCGATGTCAAGCAGTGACCTAGTCAATGACACTTACATTTTCCTGGGGCAGACAGTAAGCATAAACAAGAAAATAAGAGTTACTAGGTGGTTGTAAGAGCTACAGGGACACATGCAGGGTCGGGTAGGAAGCTGTGTTTGGGGAGTCATTCATTGCAGGGGAGAACTACCAAGGACACTTTTCCTGCCAAGGTAATATCTGAGCAAAGGCCAGAAAGACACAAAGGGTGCACTCTGTAGGGGGGGTGAGCTCATGGGGCAGAGGTGGGGTGAACCTGGTTTACCTCAAAACCGTGAAGGGGCCCCTGGGACTAACAGCCCAGTGAAGGGGCTGTGTAAGGTCCTGATATCAGAGAGGGGATGAGAGGATGAGCCCCTGAGGTTATTACAGCTTCTTGAAAGAACTTCAGCTTTTGTTCTTGGGGGCAGCATAGAAGGGTCTCTTCCTAATGCGCTGTGGTCTGACATTTAACTGGGACCCCTCCGGCTGAGCAGAGTCACAAAGATATCATCTTGATACCCCAGGGAGAGGCTGTCGGTGGTGGAGGTGAAAAGAACAGGTCAGATGTGGGTTATGTTTCCTAGGCAGACCCAGCATGACCTGCCCCTGAGTCAGACTCAGGCTGTGAGAGAAAGGCACAAGTTGAGGGCATACCGTGGTCTTTGACAACTGGATGGGTGACGTCACCATTAACTCTAATGGACAGAAGTGCAGATGGAGCAGACCTGGAAAGCCATATAAGGAGCTCCGTGCTTTGTGTGACATTGCAGCTTTTATGTCCAAGTGTAGAATTCCAGCAGACAGTGAAATACATGAGTCTGGAGTGCAGGGGAGAGGTCTAGTCCAGAAACTGGGAATTTCTAGTTGGGAAATTTAAGGTTTGGAACTGTGTTCAGAGTCGTGAGACTAGAGGAGATCACCAAGAGGAAAGAGGTGCTAGGTGTGAGCCCTGAGCATCTCAATATTTGAAGTAGCTTGCAGTCAGTAGAATAAATAACGAGAAAATCAACTTGTACCGAGAAAAGGTTTATTTTGGCTCGGTTTCAGAGGTTCCATGATCAGGCAGGCTGTTGCTTTTAGATTTGGTAGGTTGCTTCAGGACAGTGGTGGGCCGATGTGGCGGAGCAAAATTGCTCTACTCATGGCAGGGAAGAGAAAGAGAGGAGAACAAGGCCAGGGTCTCACAATCTCCTTTGAAGATGCTCCCCCCAATGCCCTAAAGACCTCCCACTAGGCCCCGCCTTCCAACTCCTAATCGCACTATGCTGTGCACCAGTCCTTTAGCACATGGGCTATTGGAGGACGTTTAAGGTTTACTCCACAGCAGAGGACCACATGGTGTTCAGAAAGCCTCTGAAGAAACTGTTCCTAGGGATCGAGAGTGGGCTGCTCTGTCAAATTCGTCCAGTGTGTCCGTTGGGTCTTGTTGGAGCTTACTATTTACCCATTTCCTTTGCAGAATGAGGAGAAACCTGTGCAAATGATGTATAAGAAGTCTACTTTTCAAATGACTTATATAGGAGAAATATTCACCAAGATTCTGGTGCTTCCCTATGTCAACAAGGAGCTCAACATGATCATTATGCTTCCAGATGAACACATTGACTTAAAAACGGTAACAGACACAAAGCTGCAGCCGGGGCATCTGGTCTCTGCTATAGAGTGCTCCCCAGTTCCCAGTTAGCTTTTGAAAAATATTTTTCTGTGGTGCTGGGGATGGATCCCAGGGTCTCGCACATGCTGGGCAAGTGCCGGGGCTCTGAGCTACACCCAGCCCCAACCTGCTCCCTTATTTAGCACCAGCACCACTTCCAGCCACAGCATGGGTCGTCCCCATCACCACACAGGGCCTCGTGCAACACCACTGTCCTGATTTTAAACCTTCACCTCTCCTACCCTAGGTGGAAAAGGAAATTACATATGAGAAGTTTGTGGAATGGACAAACCCAGACAAGATGGACAAAGAAGAGGTGGAGGTTTACCTCCCTCGATTTAAACTGGAGGAAGATTCCGACATGAAGGATGCCCTTTGCCGTCTGGGCATGACCGACGCCTTCGAGGAGGCCAGGGCAGACTTCTCTGGAATGTCCTCCAAGAGAGACCTGTTTCTGTCCAAGGTCGTGCACAAGTCCTTCGTGGAGGTCAATGAGGAGGGCACGGAGGCTGCGGCCGCCACTGCGGCCATCATGATGATGCGTTGCTTGCACTTCACGCCTTCCTTCTGTGCCGACCACCCCTTCCTCTTCTTCATCCAGCACTGCAAGACCAGTGCCATTCTGTTCTGTGGCCGCGTTTCCTCTCCATGAAGACAGCCCCACCTCGAGCGGCCCTCCTTTGCCTCCCTTTCTTGTGCCCCACCCTTCCTCTTTCTCCGCCATGTGCCTGTGACCCAAGTGCCTTTATCCATGCAACCCAGCAGCTCAGAAATAAAGCCCACTGTGGGACTTATTTCCCAACTCTGTGTGCTTGTGTGTTTGCAGGGCAGGTATTCTTCGGGGGTCTGCAACTGCCCCTCTGTAGTCTCCGGTTGCCTGGGCTACTGAGCTCACCCCTGCTGGGGCAGGAACAGGCTCAGGAGCCTGGGTATGGAGCTCGGTCCCAGTGCTGTGCATTCTCGGGAAGGCCGTGGAAGAGGCAGCGTGTTCAAAGACTTCAATCAGTGAAAACCAGGCCTCTTCCCAACTGCATCTCAACTCTCCTAGGGGCTTGTGGGTCCTAGATCTGTTCAAGAACACACGGCCCACTTGGTTACCAATGCCGCATTGGTCCAGGTGCTCAGAGATAGGCCCAGCCATCCACATGGAGGGGGTTTATGACAATGGCGTGTTAGACCCCTGTGGCTTTCTCTTTCATGGCAAGTATTACACACAGAAAGAGGTGGTGAGGTTTCTGCAGCCATGTGAGTGCCAGCTATAGGGGCAGATGGTTGGGCCGGCTCATGGGGCAGTGCTGTGCCCAGGGGAAGGACCTCCCTGCCTGTTGATGTCAGCACACACCTGGGCCCCTCTGGCCTCCCTGATGCAGCTCACAATTCCCTGCTGCAGCCAGGCCTCTTTCCCCAGCTGGAGGTGACAGAAGGAACAGGGAGCACGGGGGTTGGGGGGTGGGGGGGATGGCAGGTAAGCGGAGGAAAGGGGCCAAGGGCCTGCTGAGTTTGCTGCTCATCCTGGGTCTGTTTCTGTTGCTATGACGAACGGGAGGCTGGGTACTGTTTGGCAGACAAGAGGCTGGCTTGGCTGCAGTTCAGGAAGACCAAGAGCATGGTGCCAGCTCTGCTCAGCTCTAGTGAGGGTCGTGACGGTGACCTCACAAGGGTGAGGACATGAGCGAGAGTGGGGAGCGGCAGGTGGAGGTGACAGGCTCCCTGTAATCACCCATTCTCCCGGGAACTAATCTGGAAGGTGGAGCACCCATGACCTGATGGCCTCCCTCTAGGACCTGCCTCTTCCAGGGTCCATCCTGGGGACCAAGCTGCCCACAGTGGGGCCACAGCTCATCTGCCTGAGCCACAGCACTCTTCTCCCTCCTGCACAGCACTCTTGGTATTTTTTAAAGAGTTAGGACAAAAGCATTGGAACAAGGACTGCAGGGTGGGGTAGTCAGTGGGCTCCAGGAGTTGCGGAAAGAGCTGCTCAGAGCTATGGCCAGCAGCTACGGCTGAGTTACGGCTGGTCGGTGAGGGGACAGGGGCTCAGGCGGCGGGTGCTGCAGAATTTAACCATCCTGCATGAGCCTTCTCACCACTCTCTCCTGGAGCAAGGACTTTCGGCCACATCTCACTAAGTCGTGAAAGTGAAGCCCAGTGCCTCCTGGGAAGAAATGAGGTCACTGGGGGCGTGTCCTTGAAGGGCACTGCCAGACCCTGGCCCTTCAGGTCTCTCTGCTTGCCAGCAGATGTGAGGTGAGCAACTTCCGCCTTCATCTATTGCCTCACACAGGCCCAAGCAAGAGGCCTGCTGTCCAAACCTGAACCCCGAAACATGAGCCCAACAGAACTTTCCTCTTATAAATTAATGATCCCCGTCCCAGCTGATGAACGTACTTACATATGCTTCCTGCAGCTTTGACAGTTCAAGAATTGCACGGAAAGTAGGAGTTTATCCCAGGACTACAAAATTGATGCAACATAATCAAATTAATGTCATCTATCTTATTTACACAGTAAAGGTCATGTGACATAAATGCATGCAGGGACAGCTATCCTAAAGGAGAGCTCAGTGACTGATAGACGCAAGCAATAGGTCCCCTTTTTATTTTAATTAATTAGCTAATTTATTTGTCACTGGGATTAAACCTGGGCTTTATGACTCTTAGTAAAATTACTCTTTCTTAATAAAAATGAAACTGTCGCAAATCAGTTGATGGTTCCTTTGCTCAATTCAGAAGGAATCACTCAGTGGCAAAGTGCAGCTCTGCTAATTGTCCTTGCTGTCAGATGATGCTGGAGAACGCCGGATACCAACAGTGGTTGACACAGCTGGCTGCTGGTCACTGTGGCTGTCAGTCACTGCCATCTGGCACTGGCTTGCAGGGGCACCACTGGCTGCTGGTCTTTGAAGCTCTTCAGGACTAACAGCTTCTAGTGTTCATTGCTCTCTTTTGAGTTGAGGTTTCATAGTTATAGGACCACTATGAAAGTATTTTAGCAGGACCTGTGAGCGGGGAGGGTGCAGTACACCAGAGGGGGCCCTCCTAGACTAATTAGACTGATCAGAGAAGGGTGAGAGAAGGTTACTTATATAGCAGCCACAGGCCTGTGATTGGTCCAGGTGCAGACCTGTGATTAGTTCAGACTTAGACCTGCTGATTGGCCCGATGAAGGCTGTGACTGGCCTATGGCGAGGATAGAGCCACAGCTGGCAGGGAAGCAACTCAGTGAGCGGGTGGGGCATCGTGAGCTGTTTGGGTGACAGCTGAGGCATCTCTGGGGAAAGTGACAGGCTGAACCAGGGAATCTCCAGGAAGCCCAGCTGCGTTCACAGCAGCTAACTGGGGTTGGTGTAGGCTGCGGATGTCAGCAATGGGCCCAGGTCCCTCCTCTGCTGATCTTAACACCAGGTGCCTCCCTGTCTTCACAGAGGCAGCAGCAGGTGTGCAGTGCAGGAGTAGGGGAGGGCACCCCAGCCCACTGTGGAGCTGCACACTGCAGCGGAGCGGGCTCACCTGGGCAGAGTGTCCCACCCACTGGGAGGGCAGCAGGGCAAAGGGAAGCAAGGAGAAGGGATGCAGCAGCCCCCAGCTGGCCACGCCCACTCAGCCACTCAGGGAAAGAGCAGAGTCAGGGCTTCTCTGAGGCAAAACCTAGCCTCCTAATTTAGCCCTTAAGACTCACTGTCTTGCTGGCCAAGGCAGCCTGGGATTTGCTCCTCTGGGCTCTCCTAGGGGTGTCTGCCCGGCTGGCATCCCGGGCTCACAGAGGACACCAAGAAGCGCAAAGCCCAAATCAGAGTAGAATACTGTGCAGTTTTCTGAAAACAAAGCCAAAACTTGTATGTTCAGTGTGTGAACCTTAACACACACACACACACACACACATGCATGTGCGCACACACACAATGTGCTGAATATGTAAAATGACCAAACTAGGACACCTGAAAATAAAGAGGATAATGAAAATAAAAATATTGCTTTATTTTAACATTTATTTGTTGCACACACAACTGATAGCATATATTATACACTTGAAAACAGCTGAGAGAGTAGATTTTGTTGTCACCACACACAAAATAACCCTGTGGGGCAGTGTGTGTGTTGTAGAGCTTCACTTCCCCATCCCACAGTGTGAACATGTATCAAAACCTCACATGATGCCCAACTAATATACACAATTTTGACTTGTCGCTTAAAACATGAGTTAGAAGAAAATCCTATCCATGAGCTACCAGTTCGATGTTAATTAAAGCAGCCTTGAAAAGCATTCTTCTCAAAGTAGTCTTCCAAAATACATTTGTCTCCAAAAGATTAAATGTAACATGCCTATTGTTTAAAACAACAAACTTTATTTTATTTTATTTTTTTGGTTTTTCTCCGGTACCGGGAACCGAACTCATGACCTTGCGCTTGCCAGGCAGGCCCTTTTGCCGCTGAGCTAAACCCCCAGCCCATTTTTGTTTTGTTTTGTTTTTTTTTTTTGGTTAAAACAACAAACTTTAAAAAAACTAACGATGGTTTCAATATTAAAAAGTCAGCAGGATAATCATTTGCTGTGACTGAGTTATGCAACCCTCCACCCCTGTGTCGAAGCCTTCACCGCCTTCACCTCCAACCCGAGTGTGGTTGGAGACAGGGCCTCACTGGCGTGTGGAGGTCTCCACCGGCCATGCAGTGAAGGCTTGGCCCCTGCAGGTGGCACTGTTGGGTGGTGGTGGAACCTCAAAGGGGAGCAGCATAGCTGGAGGAAGGTAAGTTACAGGGGGAGCTGTGGCCTCCAAGAGAACTGGGGTGGGGGCTTTTGCCCTTTTGTTCCTCTTGCAGCAGCTGTGCGGTGAACAGGCCTCGTCCTCCACTGGCTCCTGCCATGGTTTGTGGAAAATCACAGGCCCAAAGCCAAGAGACCAATCAATCATGGACCTGAACCTCCAAACTGTGAGCAAAACACCTTTTCTCCTTATAAGTTGCTTATGTTAGATATTTTGGAGAGGACAAGACAGGCAGAGAGAGAGAGAGAGAGAGAGAGAGAGAGAGAGAGAGAGAATCTCCTTTCTGCCCCATGAAGAAGGCAGCAGAATAAACCATTCTATTCCTGGTTTATTCCCCATGAATAAACCAGCAACAGAATCCCCAGCAGACACCCACCATGAAGGCACCCTGATCTGGAGCAGGGGAGTTCCTGTCCTTCCAGGTACTTTGCTATGGCACCTTGAGCTGAGACACTGGTCTCAGTGCATATTCGTATAGTTTCATCCATTCTTAGCTAAACTGGCTGCTCACAACATCACTGGTATTTTTCTCAATAATAGCTTTTGAAGTAGGACTTTATTAGGGGCCATTTTGAAAATGCCTTTTCTTGTTAATACATTTGAAATCACTGTCGCCAAGTGACTCACGTGTGACCTGTGCAGCCGTGCAGGGCCCCGCACTCAGACGGCCTCAGTTGGCTTGATGTCCTGCTGTCAGTGCCTTGAAATTCTTCATCATTTTTAACAGAAGATCTTGAGTTATCATTTTGCATTGGGCCGGCGATTATAAAACTGGTCTTGCTGTGCACTGCAGTAGTTCTTTTCATTGAGAAAACTCTCCACAGATGCTGAAGGCCTGGTAAGCTCAGATCCAATTCTGAAAATGAAGGATCATCCAATGCTAATGTTTTCATTAAAATATGTAAGTATTTCTGCCTGAATATTTCAATTACAGTCTTATTGCCTTTCTTACAGTGTGTACTTCTTTCCCCAATTTTCTTACCAAACAAAGTATATCAAATCACTTCCTTATATAACTCTTTTCAGTTCTTACCAAA